TAAAACACATCATATGTCCATAAATTTTATAAAATACGTTCAAATACTCGTAATTTTAAATAATGAAACCTTCTCTGAATAAAAATTTTTTCTTTTACAATAATTTTCAAATAAATAATTTACCACACAATTTCCAATTATCTACGAATTAAATATTGAAATGTTTATAAATTCCTTTTTAATTTTTTTTTCTTTCTTGATTTTTTTTTTCTGCGTGAATACGTTCACATTTGTACTTAACTTAATTGCGGTTTAGCATGTATAAAATAATAAAATGAAAGAAAAAAAAAAGCAATACAGAGGGCTAAAAATAATTTAAACTTGCTGAAAGGTATTTTTCTTATTAAAATTAATTAACAACACGAAAAACTTAACTTCTTCATAAATTCCTTATAGTTTTTTTTTTTTTACCATTTATTTCAGTATTTTGTGTGTATTTTTTTTTTAGTACATTTTGTTAATAGATTTGAAAATAATGTGCTAATTATAACTATTTTATCAGTTTTTTGAAGGAAAAATTTTACGATAAAGAGCACTTAATTAACGCAAAATAATTTATCAATCAAAATTAGGAGAATCACTGTATATTACTCTTTATTTTAATACAAAAGAAATGAGAATAATTTCATCAAATATGTCAGAAGAACACGAATGTTTAAAGAGATTGTAATCTTTAATCCCCCACCCTCTCTCTCTCTCTCTCTCTTTCTCTTTCTCTGTGGTCATATATAGATGTTATTTTCGATGATGTAAAATTATTTTCAATGTTGGCTGATAGAAAAACATGGAAATGTGGGTAGTTTTTGTTTGTTTATTAATTGTTTTATTATTATTTCAGATTTCTAAGTCGCTCAAGATTTCTATTTAAAGTAAGACACCAAAAGAATGTGAAAAATCACAAAATTATTTAAAAATTACCACCTCCCTATAAAATATTTACTATACATATATAATATTAGCCTCATAGTTTAAATAATAAATTATTAATTATTGAATTTTTTAAGGAAAAATGCTTTCTTACTAAACTATACAATTTTTAAAGGTAGGTATATAAATAAGAAAAAAAAATAAATATGGAAATGGATGTTAATAAAAAATTTTCTAATTGTGTTCATGTGTATATGTGTACATGCAATATATTTGTAAAAAATATACAAACAAACAAAAAAAAAATAGTATAATTGAATATTTTTGTAATTTTTATATAATAAATTTTGTTTATTTACTTTGTTCTTTCTCTTAGTCTTTGTACACATTTAGCAATAAAATTGTAATTTTTATAGTTTTTCATTCAGAAAAAAAAAAATTTTGCAATTTAAATTAAAAAAATAAGCGCAAATATTTAATTGTATTTTTTTTATTCCTAAATTAACTATTTTGAAAATATTTTATTTTATTTCCAACAATTCATTGTAAATTAATTTTATTCACTTATTTTTAATTCAAATAAAAAAATATGAATGTATGTATTTAATATTTTAATAATTAATATTTTAATTGGATGGGTAAAAATAATGGTGTTTTACAATACAAAATAAAAATTCATTAATTTTTTAATTTAATTTTTATAAAATAAATTCTTTTTCAATAATTGAAATTATAAGAATTTCATTAAATTCATTATTTTAATATTTTTATAATAAAATTGAATTCATTGCTGCCCTCTTGTGTGAAAATCTGATATTTTAATATTGTTTGAACGGACAACGAACGGACAAGTATGGCAAAATTAATTGGTTTGTCTCTTTTAATTAGGAAATATGAGAATGAAATAAACAAGTTAATAAACAGGAGAATTGAAAAAAAAATTATTTGCATATCTTTTAGGCGCAACTTATTTGTTTATTTTATTTTACACAATAATTTTATTTATTTGTGTACAGTTAATTTATAATATAATATAACAATTTCAGTTAAAAAATAATTTAGAATTTTTTAATTAATTTATATTTCAGGGATGAATGTACGGAAAACGTACCTACCATTTTGTTTTTTCTCTCGTTTTACGAACGTGACGCTTTTTTAAGTGATTTGTCTGAGTATGACAAACGAAATGTTAAATTTAAACGAGATAAATGTAGTGAACCGATTTGAGAAACGAAAAAAAATCGGTGCTGCCATTTAAAAACGTTTCGTTTTTATTGTCTTTTCAAAAAGAACGAATAAAGAAAGAAACAAAATAAAATTTACAAAAATTTTAAAGAAATTGCTGAAAATCTAAGTAAATTTTTATGGCTCATTACGAATCATCATCATCCACCTATTTTTGCAAAGAATGAGAATAGATGCTTGACCATTATTATTTCTAATTGTAATAATGAAAGATAACCATTCCATTACAATCTAAGTCGAGTATTTGCTGCAGATTAAGCTTCCTTGTTCGGTTATTAATTACCTTACCACAGTTATTTTAGGTAATTTTCTTGATTGATCTTGATAAAATTCATTGATGTGGATTTAGTTGTAGTTATAATACTAAAAACACTGTAAGGACCTGTGAAAATTATATAAAATCTTGAATCGTTTATAAAGTTAGAACAATCTATTATTTGCAAGGAAACCTGACCACCAAATTTAATATTCTATTTCTTTAAGTTATGAGTTTCATTATCCGTTTTTTATGTACCTTTATGTTTGCAAAAGAGTAATTTATTGTATTATAACAATATTCCTGGAATAATCTTGCAAGTTGTATAAAAACTATGAAACATGTGCCAGAATTCGTTAAACTATCGACTAGCTATTAAGAAACTATAGCCATTTAAAAAATAATATCAAAATTATTTTTTGTCTTAAAAATCTTAATCTATATACATTTAATGCCCATAATACAAAAATATCAAATGTTACCATAAAAAGTTAAAATTATTGGCTAAAAAAAGAAGCGTATAAGAAAAAAAAAATGTTGATTTTTATCATTTCATTTTAAACTCTTAAACTACTTGAATTTTATTAAATTTAATTTGTAATTTTCTAAATTTTTTGTTTTTTTTATTTTTGTAATAAACATTTACAATTTATAATATTATACAGGTGAATTATACATTATACACTTGTGTTTTTTTTTACCATACAATATTCATTTATGTGAGAATGAGGTGCGACTAATTAAGTTTAATTACAACATAAATTAAAAATTGTTCATATTCACACGCATAAAACGTAATTAAAAAAAATAAATTTCTGTATAATAAACACATAAAAATTTATAAAATGTAGATATAATTTTAATTCACGTATTGTAAACAGGGTGAATCTCTTAAAAGAAAAACACTTCAGTCGTTTGGAGAATTTTGAATGATGTCAAAATTCATCAGATTCCGAGTAACAGTAATTATGGTCTACTGCTAGACATTGTACTAAGTAGCTATATAGTGTGACTCTTTTAAAATTTGAAACAGAAGAGAGAATGCCTATATCCAACTTATATACTATTCCAGTTCCAAGTAAATACCATGAGATATCTCAGAAAGTTATATGCGAGCTCTTCAGACCCCAACACTAAGAAAACCTGGTCCAAACTGGAGAGACGGCTAGAGCAGGACAGTCATAGAGAATATGATCGGCCGTCTCCTCATCATCCCAGCAGAATCTGCACAGAGGGAATCCGATTCGATCAGTTTGAGCAGATGACATTACACTCGATGAAGCTCGGTGACGGAAACTTTGTTGAGCAAGATGGAAGTTCCTTCGATGACGAAATGGCTCAGTATGACGACATCGCTCAGCAGTCGCCTAGATATGATTCCCCTCCCAAAGCAGAACGTCAAATCTGTCCTTAAACACAAACATTGATAGTCTAAAGAAGAAAACAGACTGAGCGAAAGGGATGTAAAAATGCCTATTTAAGACTTGTTAAGAAATGACACGAGTAATAACATACTTAAATAAATGGTTTTTTAGTGTGTTAATTAAGGTCTCGAAGCATTTTAATCGTTGTACTCCCTGAAGAATCCCCCTGTATATGTGTTAGCTAAATAAATATAGAGGTTCGTTTAAAGCTAAGTTACTTTTAAATATATGGACTAATTGTTTTAATATTATTATAGAAATTATTAAATTACACCATTGCTCCAAATACGGTTTCCTGAACAAATGTGGTAGTGAGAATAAAATGCTTTATAGATTTTTTTTATAATTAATTTATAGAAATATGTATATAAGTTGTTATAGGTTCTAATTTATTATTTAATTATTTGATATTATTATGATTGATATTATTTTATTTTACTATTATAGTAGGTCAGGTGTTTACACAATAAAATATTTGAAATTTTTGTTCTTTCCTTTCGGTTGCAGCATTTCTTAAGTTTTCTTTATAGAAAACTAAATTTTAGGAGGTTGATATTCCGTTTTTCTAATGCTATACAAAAATCCATTGCTATTATTCTTAAACTAACTCTAGTTGTCGTTTGAATTCCGAAAATATAGAGAACAGAGGTAAATTGAAAGCGAACTGTTCTATTTTATTAATGCCGTTTGAAATTATTATGAATAGTCTTACACTTATACATCACTCCCAAACATTTAAAATTTTTTGAAAAACGAAATTACCATGAATTTGGTATGAAACCAATGTACAAGCTTGTGTATATTTATTATTTCCGCCTTATAGACTCAACCGCTGACGGTGGATGATTTTCCGATGGAATCATCGAATTATAATCATTTTTTTTCAATTGTTTGGCCATATTTTTAATTACATATTCATCGAGTTCCTTATTGAACCATGATTATAGATTTCTAGCTGAAAGAGTAATAAATGATGGTTATCTGGACGAGATGTGGAAATATTTGTGAAAATATAAAAAAAAATTAAAATGTTTGTCACACGAATCGAGACCCTTGAATATCATAATTTCTGAAGACAAATTTGATAATTTTTTAACTATTATAAAAAAATAAAATTTTGATTATGATTAATTCTTTTAATTTTATTTTATTTTTATAACTTCTACAGATACCATTTTGTTAATCCCATAATTTCTTTTCTGTGTTTTTGTGAATTTGATGCTTATAACAATTAAAATAGCAGGTTAGTAAAATTTTCTAAAAAATTCTATTTAGTTTTTAAGCAAAATAATGAGAAATTGCTTGCAATTTAAAAAATTTGATAACAGCTAAGATAAGATTAACATTTTCTGAAATGAAAACAAAAAAAAAATTAATATTATTATTATTTTTGAAGATAACACGCATGTGTGTATAATCTAGACAAAAGCATACGAGTACAAACATGTGTTTAACATGGGCTTAATAACGTACTTAAAAGTTTAAATAAACAAATTTTTTTATGATAAACTTAATTTACAGGTTTTTCTGTTGAAATAAAAACAACAGTATTATAAAATAATTTTTTTTTATCTTAATTTATGAGTTTATTTAATTAGAGACACGTGAATATTTTATAATCGAGTTTGTATATAAGTGTAAATGTACAAGAACATAATATTTACCTTATAGGCTAAGGTAAAACAAATATTATTGTCCAAGTTTTATTACGTAAACTATTTGACCTAGGACAATATTTTTAAAGAATTCAAAAATCATTGCCACGTTAAAATTAAATAAAGAAAAGTCTTTTTTATTTAATGCAGGGATTAAAAACTTTTCTTTGGTTCCAGCTTTGAATCGACTATTAATGATTAGATGTAATCTATAGAATTATGTCAGCTAAGTTTTGCTAAAATACTACAGAAGCGATTTTACACAGGATAGCTTGGTTGTTCTGGATATCTGAATGTTTCTCCATATCGGTTACATGTATTACGCTGCTCTTGTTTTCTTCGATATATTGTCTACATCTACATTTACCTGGGCCTTGTATTCACATGTGGCCGTAGCTGCTGACGAACGCTATTTGTTGGCTATTTATTTTCAGACTGGCTGTGTTATTCAAGTTTATTTCACCACCTTATCTTTGTCTATGTTTATTTCTAAACCCACATGTTTAACAATTTTTCATAATCCATGTTTTAGGTTAGATTCCAAATTATACTTGTGCTCTGTGAGTAGGATTAGGGGATGAAATCCTCGTTTATTCGTACAGCGCTTGAATAATGTGCATCATTCGTCTTTATCTGGGGGGTTTCCGATTTTTTTGTGCTTTTAATATTGTATCACGCTTAATTGTGTCGACAGCTTTCTTAAAGTCAATGAAGGGCATATACAATGGTGTTTTGTACTCTATTGACTATTCGATTATTATTCGAGCGGAAACCAGCTTGTTCATCAGATATTTTATCTCCTAATTTTTCTTTTAGACTATTCTGGACTGGTATTGCTAACAAGGTATCTTGTATTTTTCTTTTTCCTGTTACCTCCAACGTTCAAAATATGAAAAATCCGCAGATCTGCAATCGTTATAACCGGAATATTTAGTTGGTTCTTAAGTTTCGCTTTTCTTTGAATAGGTTAAGTACAAAATAGTTGTAATCGCAATATTCTTATGTCGCCAAAAGAACGCAACTAAAATAATGTTTTTTGTTATCAATTATTAATCGTTTATTTATCCGTGAATTATCGTTATTAATCAATAACAATAAAAATTTTTTATTAAATTCTTTTTACTTTAATAAATAATTTTTTTTAAATTTCTATTGGATTTAACAAATTTATTAATATACCGCTGATAGAATAACACAATACATTAAAAATTTTTATCAGATTATTGTTGTTGAATAGCATATCGCTGAGATATGTTAATAATTTTTAAGTTGTTTACGGTATAACTTGTCTAATTTATTGAATAAACCAAGTTATTGTTATTACTTTTTTCGTAATAAATAATTAAAATAGTTTTAGGCTAAGATAACTGACTAATTTTAAATTAGATCAAGAATAAATTTTCTATTAAAACTATTTCTTTCTACAAAGAGATCAGACTAGCTATCGAATTCGAGTTGAATTTCGTTAAATACCGTATTACATAATAGTGTTAAGCATTACATGATTTTGATGGGCACAAATTACTTACATGCAACAGCATATTGTCGTTTTGATGCGTTTCTGTTCAACTTCTTCTTCTTGAATGGTTTTTTGTGAAAATCTTTTTATTGATTGATCTTTATCATTTTTTGGTTGTGTTGTTATTATTGTTTGACTTAAAGTTTGTCCCGATGATGTATGTGTTTCGATTTCTCTACGCAAGTCTTTGATGTCTTCCCCTATAGTACTAGTTTCATCTAAAGAATTTGATTCTGTCGTACCATTAACTTTCTTTTCTTCAATTTCTTCTTTTTCTGCTTCTTTTTCAATTTTTATTTGATCACCTTCTTTTTTCTAAAATATTTCAATATTAAAATTAGCAATTAACGAAAGTATTCTAAAAAAATATTACCAAAATTGGCAAATCATTATCGGATTCTTCTAAGCGATTTTGTCCAATAATAATAATTGAATTTTCTGACACAATTTTTGGAATAGAAACATGATATAATCCAGTGGGTGGGAGATGAGGATACTCTAAAAATTTATGTTCAATAACTGGACCTACTTGAGCTATTTCACGTTCAATTTTTTCTTCAACTTCGTTATTTTCAATTAAAAATGCAGGCGTATCATTTAATTTTTCATTGATTTCTTCTATAATTACAATACCTTTTTGAGGTTCTTCATATTCTGAAATTTCTACATGTCTTTCTATAACATTAATTTCAATTGTTTTCTCTTCTTTGACTTCATTATATTTATGAACTACAATAACATTTTCTTCAATATTTTGATAACTTTCTATTTCAACATTTCGATATTCTTCTTCTTGTTCAACTAAATATTCAGTTGGTTCATGAATTGAAATGACATATGCTGTGCGTTCATTTAAATCAACACTTTCTGTTTCAAGTTTGTCGATATCATCCAAATTTGTATTTGATCCGGTCATATAATATTTTTCAATACTACATTCTTTATTCGATTCATTGTTATTTATATGAATTATTTGTGGTAATGGTGGATATGGAAATCCAGGTGGTGGTGGATTAGGATAATTCTCTAATAAAATATGTTCAATTTCATGTTGCATTTCAAAAACACCGAAAAAATTATGTGTGTTTTAATTTAAAAAAAAAAATGAATAAATAGAAAAATAATTAATTTCACTTATCTTAGTGAACACGATTTGGCTTTGTTTATTATCGCTTACCTATTAAAACTAAACTCTAGAGGAATACTTTTCATATAATTCAAGTGTGAAATAAAAAAAAATTAATTTGATTTTTTATTCTTTAAATTTTTGTTTATCTCGGGAACTGAAAATAATTTTTTATCAGTAAATTCATACGCAAGTTATATTTATAATTTTATGTCGTCATTTTACTGAAAGCTGATTATGTTGGAAGAAAATTTAAAAAAGTGTTCAGATATTCTTTTTGAAAAGCGGAACAATCTCTTTGTCTTTTTGAGTTAAAAAATATTAAAATAAAATTTTCAATTTTGTGACATGTTTCAAAATATTTAAATTTTAATTGTTTTGACAATTTAAAATAGTGCCTGCTTTTCTATACTAGCATTCTGTACTCCAAATGTTCATTCTAACTCTATAATGTATTTGATATTGGTCGTTATGTAAAAGCCTACTTTTACGAGTATCACTTTTTTTTTTAGCTTAAGTAATTCAGAATTTATATGTACTGAGTAAAGTGACTATAGATTTGGAATTTTCATAAAGAATTCCAGAAAAAGTAACTAGATTAATGATTAACAAATCAATTAAATAAATGAACCTAAAGTTAAATATCTGATTCAGATAGGCTCCCCAGAATTCTACTTTGCATAATTCAGCATAAACGTCTTTCATACTTGCTAAGTAATGAGAGAAGTAAGCAGGTACTTGTTTAATTTTTTTATCGCCTTTGCGCACGCTTAGTAGATTACTGTTTTCAATAATATTATTTATGTATTAGATTCATTATTTGCTCGCCAATGCAGTTGACAGAGAGGCGAGGGAGAGAAAACTCTATTTTTATACTAAATCTCAATATTATAACAGTATATTTTGTTCATTGACCAGCTGTTCGTACTCTTCTTTTTTACTTTTCTAAATACCAAATGAAATCTACTATAATTGTTAATTGAATACTTTACTTATTTTAGCAACCACCAATATTTTTACAAGGGTTTCGAATTAATTTCAATTCAAAATAATTACCAAATAAGAATTTTTTTATAAAATGAATAAAAAAGGTAAAATAATTAATTTTTTCATCTTATTATACTACAATTTAAGCAATTTGTTTTAAATTTTGATTTTTACACTCTAAAAACTTGTTCCTATGCTTCTTTTTCACATTTTGCAAGAAAAAACATGAAAGTATCATGTTATGATGATTACAAAAAAAAAATATTTGTAAAAATGGTGTAAAACATGCTTACGAGTAGCAAAACGTTTATAAAAAAATTTAAACTCAATAGAATTTATAATGAATTTTTAAACGCATTTCACCGCATAATATGCACATAATAATCTGAACGCCCACTTGAAAATAAGAAGGAAAAAAGTAAGTTGTTAAAATTATAAAAGTTTCCTTTGAATACAAGCCATTTGACATATTGGCAAACAACTTTTTTTTTATTTTTTAAGTTTATAAAAACTAAATTTTATTTTCTTGCAGGCAAATACATTTTTATTGTATATAGAGAATTAAATTTCAGAACTTCTTTTACAGATGGACGAAAATGAGATTATTAAAAGATTATTAAAGAAATAATATTAAAGATTGTGGGGGAAGATTTTTGTTTTATTTGTCGCTTACAGTAAGAACTTTAAAAGGGAGCCAGAAAAAGTCAATTTTTTTTAGAGACTTATCGGTGTGAAAGATCAGATTAATTTCGATGTATTAAATGACTAGGCTCTTTTTACATTTCATTCGATTAGGGACGTACATAGGTAATTGCTTCAATAATAAGTTATAATATATAAGCCATAATGATTATATTATACATAGCTAGCTCATCGCTGATCTTATATTATACATAGCTAGCTCATAGCTTACTAATCGCTGATCTATGGAGTTGAAAGATCTCTAGGTCTTAAAATCTCTCTACTCATGTCTGGTTTTATGCAATACGGTTTGCAAGTATAGTCACAACGGAACACACTCTAACCTCATTGAGTTTGTTTAAAAAAAATTTTTTAAGATTTGCACTACACCTGGTTTCTCGGGAAGCTTTCCTACGAAAGACGTCATTCTTCCTCGTTATCGATACAGAATCAAAATAACCTGGCTTATTTTGCACTTAGGAAATTCAATTTTTCCAAAATTTTTCGTTTTCATAGGACAAATTATGTGGAAACATAAAACTATTAATAGAATGCCGAATTTTTATGTAACAAATAACAAAAATTGGAAAAATCTTCCTAATTTATTTTAATTTTTTGGAGTTCAAATAGGCATAATTTCATTTATAATGAATTGAAAATGAATTTTCAAATATAAAACTCCTTTTTAAACCGCAATCCGTCGGTGAGAAACCGTTTCTGCTTACATATATAAAATATATAGAAAAATTGTAATAAAAATCCAAAAATTATAATTGCATAATTTTATTTTAGACAAACAAGCAAACTGCGTATACAACAATAAAATAAATAAAATTATTAACGTATAAAAGTTAATTTTAATAAGAATTTCAATTCCGAAAAAAAAATATTGTATACGTATATTATATACGGCATTTGTATATACAAATATAGCATGAAAACATTTATCACATTATTTAATGTTCAACCATTTTTAAACCATTATCCTCTTCCATTTCACAATTTAAATTTAAACATTTTTTCCTTCCTTTTTCTCCTTTTTTTTCATTTTAGAGAATGCCGAAACACAACAAGCAGTCTGAATTTAAAATATTTAAAATTTCAATTTTGTATATGTGCTATATATGTACATATATACATTATGTATTTAATGTACAAGCACATAAAGCAGATTCAATATAAAACAAAAATTGGAAAATTTACAAGAAATGAAAAAAAAAAATTCAATTTTAAACTTTTGTTAATAAAATCCTTTTTTAATTTACGTATGTACACATGTATGTATAGTATATACCAGGCATGGGGAACCTGCGGCCTTAAGGCCGCATGCGGCCTTTTACTTGTTTCTTAGTGGCCTTTGTTCTTAAAAAAATTTATTTCTTATATTTCTTAAAAATTAAAATTTTGCTGCCAAATTTTCGAAAACAAATCAAACATTTAGAAAAATAAACCGTGCACATAAACTTTCAAATTTGAAAACTAAAAATTGGAAAATTCAAAGCCATGAAATTTCTAACAACGTTTGAATTCAAAATTTCCATACATATTTGTTTGAAAACAAACCCATATTAATATTTGAATCCTATGTCCGGGCTTCTTTCAGAATAATTGTATGCCACGCTAGTAAACTTTTTCAATAATTTTAAAAAAATGCTTTCACACATTTGTTTGAGTTCAAAATTTATTTAAAATAACGAAGAGGATATGACTAACATTTTACGAAATTGCGATATTAAAGAATACAAAGGTGTTTTAGACTGCTTGATTGAAGAATATAACGATAGATAAAGATTTTGAACAACATGACACCACAATGCAGCTGGTATTTCAACCACACTTGTTAGTTGGCACCTGATTATTTGCAAATGGAATTAATCGAATTATCAGAAGATCAAATATTTAAATCTCTCTTCAACGATAAGAAGAATCCAACTGAAATATGGAAGATTGCCGTTGATTACCCAAAACTTCGTGAACATGCTCGTCGTATCCTCTCCTGTTTCGGCACAACTTATTGCTGTGAATCAACATTTTCACATATGACGCAAATTAAATACTGCTTGAGATCCCAATTAACTAACGCTCATTTGGAAGACCAACTAAGATTGAAGACAACGAGGCTGGAACCAAATATAAAATTGTTATCGAGCAACAAACAATCACAGAAAAGTCATTGAAATAATGAACCATATTATTTTATTAATAATGTACATACTTACTTATCTATTTTTATTTATGAAATAAACTGTTTTATGTTATTTTTTATATTCTGACATAATTTTGTTTTCATCAACCTACACAAAGCAAAAATTTATAACCTTTGGACTTTTTTTAAACTTTGCGGCCTGATTGACTTTGCATTGACTAAAATTTGGCCTTATATAGAGAAAAGGTTCCCCATCCCTGGTATATACATATACATACACATATATGTGAATAGTACAATTCAATTCGTTTCATGTTAAATCTTTACAAAAAGAAATACAAGAAAACTATGAAAAAGTCGCAGGGTACCAAAATAAACCAAAAGAGGAATAAATAATGTATTGGAATCCTTTATATTATTATTAATATATTATGTATTTATAAACTATATTTATATAATGTCATATCCCTACAAACACGTACACATATACACAGCACATATGTATGTAGAAGAAATATTGAAAAAAATTATGCATTCGCTTTTATGTCAAATTCTTTTTTCATAAATACGTGAACTGATGTTTTCTTGGAAAAAATAAGATATTAAATATTTTTACATACATACTTATATTATTTACTTAAATAATCATGTACATATATATTAGTTGTTCAATGGGAATAATACAAGTTTATACAAATGTACAAACATACATACATAAAATATTTATTACCACATATTCTTTGAAAAGACCAAACTTTTGAACTACAATAATAATGGATTTCTGAACACAAAACAAAACAAAAAACAAAATCATATTGACAATACAGCAAATTTTTATATACATACAACCATAATATGTACATATGTATGTTGATTGATGCAAAGTCAATACATTCACGTGCATAAAAACGTACAAAAACAAAAATATTCAATTATGTTTTCATAAACAAAAAAAAACGAAAAAACAAATTTATTCTTTGATTTGTGACGGTGTAAATAGGAAACTACAAAAAAAAAAAAAAAAAAAAGACAAAATCATATATTATGGTTTTTTTTTGATTATGTTGTGCCTTTTAAATGCCAATATTTATTACATACACATGAAACATATATGAGTGCATATTAAATAAAAATATACACTTTCTATCACATTGAATAGGGCTACGTATTAAGGACATCCTCGAATATGATCAATGAGGCTGTGAGTTGGAATCGAAAAATCGAAATTGCAAAATTGGAGTTAAATTTTCAAGAAATTTTAAAATGTTCTTGGAACCCTTAATGCCCGCCCCAGCCGAACCAGCTTTAAGTTGTCAAATACTGAATAAATATCCCAAACGTATATATGAAACATTCGCTAAGCCTGTGGTCTTTAAAAAGAACAAAATCTCTGCCTTCCTTTCTGAGCAGCAGTATACAAATGAGTTCAGGAGCATATAGTAGATAAGTCACCATTTATTTTTACTCTCCCGTCAGATACTTCTTCGGAAATTGTTTGCAGATCATTCCATATAAAATTATTCAATGTCCCGCTAATTGGAGATTTTACATATACTGACAAAGAAGGAAATTTAAGAACTGTACTGGAGATTCAAAACTATTCGTATTCAAGTTTAAAGAACTGTTAGCTTTATGTGGAAACGCATTTATTGATATCACGTTTATGACACAAAAAAAAAGAAGAAGATAAAAACATTGTCTACCTTATATTAAATAAAAAAAATTTAAATATAAAAACACAAAAAAAATATAAAGGACCTATAGCAAAAGCACCCAATACACACATTTAGACAAAACAAAAAAATAACAGCTGCATTATAACGATCACGTTCCTCCATTCTTTTTTATATGTATGTATAGATATATAAGTAGGTATGTAGAATATAGAAGCGAAAAATCATTTCCAATTTTAGCAAACACAAAGCCAGAGAGAGAGAGAGAGAGACATGAAAGTTTTGTTATGACGATTTTTTCCCCCTTTTTTCTTTTATTTTACTAGATAATTGAGTAATCGCATGGCTAAAATACGACCAAATCACTTTATTAGGAACCATTACAATTTTTTTTTATTTTATTTATTTATTTATACATATATTTGTAATATACATATTATTATAACAACAAATAAAAAAAAAAACAACAAAAATTAAAAATCTTTAGAAAACTTGTTAATTGAGAGTTGAAGAAATTATTAAACATCTGCAGACACACGTACACAACTATAAACAAAAAAAAAAACATAAAATGGAATCTTTTTTTTTAAAATTAAAATGTTAAAATTTAAAAAAAAAACAACAAAGGAATATTTATATATGTTTGTATATGAATAAATAATTTACATAATCTTATAGACAGTTATGAAAATTATTGTTTTGCTCTTAACATGTCACATTTTGTTATTCTTTCAATTGACTTTGAGTTTTTAAAGAGGTTTTTTTAAAGTTCTGGATATCTAATGCACGTCTTCCATCCTTTTCAACAGCTTTTTTATTTTCCGTAACCTGCATCGTTATTTTTCCTTGAGTTTGTCCTTGGTATAATGTTTCATAAGTTGCTAAGCTGGTATTTACTGCTGGTTTCGCAGATATCCGGTTGTTATAGTTTTTTAGATGTGGATTAAATAATGCAATCCTATCATTAAGAGGAATGCTTTTTTAACGCATACTCGCACTTTTCGAATTCGATGTTTTTATGCAATTTTTTGATAAAAACATCGAATACCTTCCTTCCTTCGTATTAAATAATAAATCGTGAATAAAGGTCGTCCACATACGGAATCTAAATTTTTGGCATCAAATATTTCTCTTCCTTTTTTCTTTTAAACACCGATACAAATAATTCAGCAACAAAAGGCGAAAAGGAAGGAGTGGGCCATTAAAGCACGCATGGTTCATTGACTCTACACCGCAGTGGTGTGACCTGTGCTAATGTATGGTGTTCTGGTGTGGTGGCCTGCGCTGCCCAGGTCAATCAATATGGGACTGGCAGGTAAGATCCAGAGGATGGCATTGATGTGCATTGGCGGAGCGTATGGCTCAACTCCTACATGGGCCCTCGAGGTACTTTTTCATCTTTTTCCAGTTGACATTTAGGGGAAGCAAATTGGAATAGGTTCGGCTATGCGCCCAAGGGCTGCATCACATTGGTTCTGGGGGAGCGAAGGCAACATTTGCGGCTCTATTCAGTTCTACACGGATGAATTTAAGCTGAACGAAAGAGTCTGGGAGGATTCTACCCCAGAGAACTTAGGGTGGAGATCTCTTTTCATTTTCTGGACCACTGCAGCGCCTTTCAGGCGGAGGTGGTTGCTATAAGCGAGGCTACGAGTTGGCTGGCGTCTAATATGATAACATGCAGGTGCATCAGCATTTTCACGGACAATCAGGCCGCCATAAGGGCGTTGAAAGCGGAGAATTCCACTTCAAGAATGGTCCGGGATTGTAGATCATTTCTTAACCAGATGGCGCAATCGTTCGAAATCAACTTGATCTGGGTTCCGGGCCATGGAACGACTTTTGGGGTCCTACCTGAAAAATAGGATTTGGATACGTCTCTGAGTACGTGCAAGCTGTTGCTACGCAATGCAACAATAGAACAAGTGGAGCGACTTCTTTAGGGGCTGCTATGACGAGGAGGAAACGGTGGCTCATTTTCTGTGCGCGTGCTCGGCTTTAGCATGAAGAAGTTCCTTAGGTCACATTTCTTTCTGCAAGTTACGGACCTGGCGAATGTAAATGCCAGGGACGTAAACCGGTTTATAAAGGACTTGGGCTGGTGCACGTGAGGGTGGCGATATGGCAATCACAGCAGACCCAAGTGGCTTAAGTGTATCCTCGGATGACCGCGTTAATCTAACCTAACCTGACTTAAAACCTCTATAAGGCAATAGAGAATACATTTATAATTCTATAATAAATAATATCAAAAAATAAGAAAACCAAAATGCCACACCCTTAAAAAACTCATAGGTTTTCCATTCTAATAGCGACCACACGTGTTCTTAAAAAGTACATATGGATATAGTAATTTTCAAAGTAATATCTTGATCATATAAAGTTTAAAAGTGAACAAATATCTTCGTATATCTTCGTGCCACTTTCGACAGCAAATACTAACGCGGTTCTCAAAGAAGTTTTAATTATAAAGTTTAATTGCCCTAACTTAATTGAAATAAATCACAATAATTTTAAGCAAACATAAAAAAAATTTTCCTTTGACATTGCAATAGTGAAAAAAATTATGATGTTATGGCAACTTAATTTAAAAAATATTTGTAATTTACTCTTTTATCACTTATATTTAACATATTAAAATTTATTGTGAAATAAGAAATATGTGAAAAGATCGGTCAGAACAAGATAAAAGAACGAACAAGAAAACAATGCTTCAACGTTCCGAAGAAAAGCACATAAATAAAAAATGTTGGTTTCTATTGTGTCTGGACATTGTTGTTTTCTTAGAATAACTTTGACTTTATTCTTTAATTTATTGTAATTTAATATAATAGAATATATTTAAATTATTTAATTTACTAAATTTTCATATTTAATTGTACAAAATTTCTTGGACACATACTTATACACAAATAAAAGAGTTGTTTTGTATCACATGCAGAATTTGATCCTCATATTCCAATTTTAATTGATTTCAAACTTGATTATTTTAAAATGAACGAATTCAGTGAGTATCATTTTTATTAATATTGCAAGGCTAAGCATTATTCTTAAAAAAAAATAGCATATTAATTTTTTAATCATCTTTAGAAACAGGATCAGCATAAAAAAACAAAAAGAAATTTATAATGCACATACAATATTGTTCTTAATGGCCTTTAATCTTTATAAAAAATCTAAAACCATTTTGTTAAGAGTCTTGAAAAGGTGAAATATTTTAATATTTTTCTTTTTTACTTCTCTTTAACATTTAAGTTTAGTCATTCGGCTATAAAACACATCGCAGTTGCTCAGATTTACTTTCTTAAAAACCATGTTGTGTTCTTTTTTTCCATAAAATAAAAATATAACGTTCGGC